GAGGAAGACTAGAAAGAGAAAGTCACTGATTTTGTGTGAAGTAGATTATGTGGAGTAAGAGGACATTCTCTCTTTTCCATTGAAGTAGGAGGAGAGCGTTTTTCCCTCCCCACTGCCAGCAGTGAAGGTCCCACTCATAAAGATCAGGGATGCCTGTAAGATGGGGGACTGAGATCTTGTTCCATGGCTGGATACTTTTTATGCTGTTTGGTGTGAGGAACCTTTTCAAACACCTCTCTCCAAATATACGTGTCCAGTGAAGGTTGGCAGCATTCTTGACCAGAGTCTTTTAGTTTCTTCTAGTGTAAAATTTAGGAAGGAGGCTTGCTGGAATGAATAGACAGTGGGTTCTGAAGGGCACAGCCTATCTGGGAAGACAGGGGCAACTTACTCCCTCTCTGCCCCCACCCCACCCTAATCCTGTGTCCCTTGAAGGGCACAGAACAAGACTTCTTCTATTTCCCACAGCAGAGACTGGTACAAGAACAGAAGACATGGGACTATCCAGACAGATGGGTATTTACTGCTCAAGCTGAAGAAGGGAAGGGGGCCAGGATCTTGCTGGGGTAGAAGAGAGAAACAATAATGGTATCTCTGTTTGGGTTTTTTTCCTTACAATGAGAGGATGTCACATAAAATAAAACAACATTCCAAGAAAACAACCTATGTCACCCATGTGGCAATGACCAACATGACCAGAGGCCATATCAAACTGATTTGGTTTGACCTAGATCAAAGTAGTGATATGTAGTTAGTCTCATGAAGACATTTTTACCTCCCTCAGTTTTCCTAAATCTCCAATCTTAAGTGGACTTAGAAGGACAACAGGGAGGAGGAGGAGAAGAGATTAGGGAGGAGGGAAAGGAGTTGTCATCATCATTACCTTAGGGACAGACCACACCTTTCCTCCTCTAGGCAACTGGGAGCCACTGCTCTATCTTACGTGGCAAGAAGGGAAGAGACAAGTTTTTGAATTTAGTTTAAGATTAGAATTTTAAAAAACTGAACTGGAATTAGCCTAAATATTGAAATGAGATGATGTCATTAAATGAAAATTGACTGCAAAGTTACAAAAACTGTCCAGAAAGTTAAGGGACTTGCAAATCATCAGGAAAAA